AAAAAAAGGCAGTGGAGGGGGTGTTTCAGAGTGAAATCCTTCCTGAGGTGAACATTTAGGTCAGTAGAAGAAAGTACATTTCAAATGTCAGGTACAATGTCTAGGGGTAGTGATTGAATACAACATAGCATTTGGGTCCGGTGAAACAAGTTTAACCAGATCAAAGGGTGTGTTCTGGGAAAATGGCTTGAGAAAACTTGAAGGAATAGGGTGGGAAAGATTAAGGATTACTTGAAAGCCAGGCAGAGGAATTCAAATTTAATATGGGAATTTTGGAGCCAGTAAAAGTTTGTGAACAAGAACATGTCCTGGGAGGAAATGGTATTCAAGGACCATTAATCTGGCAGCACTTCTTGGAGCAGCAGCTAGGAGAGAGGTGTCTCATAATTTAGGGGTTGGGTGGTGGATTGAGAGTAGAAATAAAAGACAAAGATTGGATTTAAGATAGAATTTGAAGGGAAAAAATCAATAGGACTTAACGAAGGAAATGAAGGAGAAGGTAATTCTCCTACTTTTGAGCCTGAGTGACTGTATGGTGCCTCCTTTCATTCAGAGCTGGAGAGGCTGAGAAGGGGACCAGCTTAGAGGAAGTAGAAAAATGAATTTTAGTTTTGGAATTGTTGAGTTTGAGGGAATAGGTCTTTGAATAAAAGCAGTCCCTGTACAGTTGGAGATATAGGTCAGACAGGGAAGAAAGCTCTGTAGAAACAATAGCTCTACAGGGAGAGAGGCTGTGAAGGGACTGGAACAGATGTGCCAGAGCTCAGGGAGTTTCTCAGATCTCAGATTTAATGTAGTGGTAAATTTAACATGGAAAATTTGTACCACAACCTGTACCTTCTGCTTCATAAAGCTTCACTTCAGCCCATGTTGATACTACTATTATTTTATGCTATTTTCTTTCTATTACTCTAATATCTTTGAAATGTATATGATTAATCCATGCGAGGCTTCTCTGGTTATTTCTAATAGTTTTTTGTTTTTGCTTTTAAATGGCACTTTTTAATGTTTTTATTGATTTTAGAGAGAAGGGAGAGAGAGAGAGAGAGAGAGAGAGAGAGAAACATCAGTGATGAGAGTCGTTGATCATCTGGCTGCCTCCTGCACAACCCCTACTGGGGGTCGAGCCTGCAACCTGGACATGTGCCCTAACCAGGAATCTAACGGTGACCTCCTGGTTCATAGGTTGATGCTCAACCACTGAGCCATGCCAGTCTGGCTATTTCTAATAGTTCTGAATGCTTTAAACAAGACAGAGAGACAGCATATAAAAATCAGGCCTCCAGTTGATTAGAAAATTTATGAGCTGGATTTCTCAGCACCACTACTGGGTAGCCTTGGATCAGTGAGGACAGCTCCATTCCATATTGTATTTAGAAAAGAATGGCTGTAAAACCTACTCAAGCCTCATGGGGTCTTTTCAAGCCTTAGCCAATACATTTAGGCACTGTCAGTAACCACAAGCTTTAGCATAATATTCAGGCGTGGCAAGACAGCTTGGACTCTGGAGGCTGGCGACAGGCTTTTGTGTACAGCTTGAAAGCTGTTGCTGAGGCACGCCTTCTTAGTATTCCTCTTAGGACTTGGTTCTCTATAGTCTATAGCATGCCCCTACTTGTAGATGATGCTAGATTGCTCAGATATCATTAAAGGATCTGCAGCTATCTTAACAGGAAACAGCTCATCCCTTGGGTAATGTGTGAGATGGGGAAGAAAATCCTTAGATGGTTACCCATCATTTTAGCTGCTAGTGTGTTTGCCAGCATATAGTACCTTGAGTCCTTGGGCTCTCTAGGGTAATAGGTAATATTTTCCCTATGGTTAACCTAGTGTAGAAGATCTGACTCAAATTATCTGAAAAGTCTGAAGGTTTTTCTGTCTCCGTATAGTTTCTCTACCTAAAGAGGTGGCAGGTTGAGAACGCAGGAAGTTACTTTGAGTCCATGTCAAAGGATCTGCCAGCCTTTCTAATCAATTGAATTTTTAAGTGAAACAAAACGTGATGAACCAATACTGCATTTCTAAAAATTAACTTTTTGCCTATGGATCAAACAACCTTTGTAACCTTTGCTCACCTGGTGACATGCTTCGAAAGAGTTATCCCACCTCTTAACAGCAGAAGAAAGTAGTTTGCCAAGACATCCGTGTGTCACCCTAGCTAGTTTGGCTCAGTGCTTAGAGCATTGGCTCACGGACTGAAGGGCCTCGGGTTCAATTCCAGTCAAGGGCACATACCTCGGTTGCAGGCTCTATCCCTGTGGGAGGCAGCCAATCAATGTGTCTCTCTTACATCAATGTTTCTTTTTCTCTCTCCCTTCCACTGTCTCTGAAAAGCAATGGAAAAAAATCCTCGGGTGAGGATTAAAAAAAAAAGACATCCATGTGTCATAGTTCATGTAGTTTGTGACAGGCTTTAAGGCAACAAGAACATTGAACATCAAATCTATCATTATTTTTGCAGAGAAAGTTCCATGAGCTGGTTTGAGAGAAGCGGGAGTTTAACACCCCTTCCAAGCTTCCCCATACCTTGTTTACCTTAAAGGACAAAAATTTGAACAGGCAAACTATAGTTGCCTAAAAAAAACCCAGTGAGGCACAAATGAATGTCAAAATTATTATTAGGAGACAAAAGGGAAATGTCACCAGCCTGCGCAATTACCTATGTATTCTAGGTCAAGCAACTGTTCTTTTGGGAAGAGGAAATGCTAACTTTATCAATAACATTCCACTAAAGATATAAAGAAAAACAATGATCAAGGTACCATATCTATTAAAAACATTTGGTTTTATTTTAGAGCTGGTTGAACTTCAGTGGTGGGTAGAGCTTGTTTTTATATATTTTTTGTAGTACAATTTTAAAATCTTATTATTTTTAATCTAGGAGCTGTCTCATCTTATGCATTAGAACTTAATTTGACGGATTCAAAAAAAGCCACTTGTCTTTATGCAAAATGGCAGATGAATTTCACAATACGCTATGAGACCACAAGCAAAAATTATGTAAGTGTTTTTCTTTTTCTTTGAGTTTTATAGCAGGAATTTAATTCTACTCTTTTTATCTTCTACATGCATTTATACAAATAAGATTTCATATGTTAACTGACTTAACACTTAAATTCTGTGGGTTTCTTAAAATACATGTGCCCTTGAATGTATTCTGATCAGTGTTGGAAAGAATATTTTAATTCATTGGTTCTTTGAAGTTTTTTTGGAGTTACTTAAGGGCAAATGATCTGAAGACTCTATGGTGTTCTAACTACTGTAATGTTTATAACGTGTATTAACATCAAAGCTTGTCCCTTTTTTAATAGCTTGCTATTAAAAATCCACCTTTTTGGCAGTGCTTCTCAGTCCCTTTGCCTTTTTATTTTCTTTTAGTTAAGGTCCTGCCTGCTTACAACCTGATTTTTAAAAAATAAACTTAAGAACATAAGCTCAGCCCTGGCCAGTGTGGCTCAGTAATTAGAGCATCAGACTGCGCACCGAAAGGTTGCGAGTTCGATTTCCGGTCAAGTGCACATACCTGGGTTGCGGGTTCGCTCCCCGCCCCCAATCAGGGTGCATGCGGGAGGCAACCAGTCAATGTGTCTCTCTCACATCACTGTTTTTCTCTCTGTCTGTCTGTCTGTTTCTCTTCCCCCACTCCCTTCCACTCTCTGAAAAGCAATGGAAAAATATCCTCAGGTGAGGATTAGTAACAACAACAAAAGAACAGAAGTTCAGACCAGTTTTCCTTTTCCTTTCAGACATAGTACATGAATTTATCCAGAGGACTGGTGTGTAGCTAAGGAATCTAAGACTGGTTTACACAGCAAATCAGGCAAAGGGCAACCTAGCCATAGGGGATGTGTGATGTAGACTGAAGTGGCGCATCCTGTGAAAATGATTGGTGCTCATCACTGCCTGTTTGTTCCTTACCCCCAAACTTTTTTCCCCTACTTCATCTTATTTATTTATTTATTTATTTATTTATTATTTATGTTACTATTACATTTATTTGGGTAACATTAGTGAATAACATCATATAATTTTTCAGGTGTACAAAATTATAATACATCATCTGTATATTGCATTTTATGCTCAACATCCAAAGTCTAGTTTCCTTCCATTACCATACATTTTACCCTCTTTACCTACTTCACTCTCCCCAGCTTTCTTTCCCCTGTGGTAACCACCATTCTGTTGTCTGTATCTATAAGCTTGTTTTTGTTTGTTTTGTTGGTTTGTTACTTTTTATTTTATATTCCATATATGAGTGAAATCTTACAGTTTTTGTCCTTTCCTATCTGACTTATTTCACTTAGCATAATACTCTCAAGGTCCATTCATGTTCGCAAATGGTAATATTTCATGTTTCTTATGGCTGAGTAGTATTCCATTGTGTGTATCTACCACATTTTCTTTATCTAATCACCCACAAATTAAACTTCTTTTTCTTTTAGAAAACTGTAACCATTTCAGACCTTGGCAATGCAACATACAGTGGAAGCACCTGTGGGGATGACAAGAATGGTCCCAAAATTGAGGTGCAATTTGGATCTGGTTTTTCCTGGACTGTGAATTTTACAAAGGAGGTGTCTACTTATTCAATTGAAAGCATTTCATTTTCCTATGACACTAATGATAACACAACATTTCCTGATGCTAAAGAGAAAGGTAACCTTAATAACTGGATTTGTATTATCTTCTCTTGCTGTTTATTGATAATAAAAAATGTGAATAATTTAAAAATCATCCTTATGCATGTCTGTCTTCCTAACTAGAATAGAAACTTTATGTTTTTGTATCCTCTCCACCTCCATGTACAGCACAGTGTTCAGTATAGCGATGATATTTGCTGTGCTTTGTACCAGATAGTACCCTAAGTGTGTTACCAGCAGCATCTCAATCCTTACCAGTAAGCCTGAGAAGTAGATATTATCCCAGCTTTACAGGTAAAAGAAATGAGGCTTGATGAGATTAAATGACTTTCCCAAACATCACACAGGCTAGTAAGTGGATGAGTTTTTTGAAGCAAAGTCTATTGAGTTACAGAGTTCACACACTTAATTATTACTATTTATTTCATTCAATAATGGGCACTCAACAAATGCTGAATCAATGAGCAAATCCTTTACTAATACCTATTTTAAATGTGTGCAAGTTCAGTAATCTGAGAGGCGCAGAAATGCTTCATCTGAAGATCTTTTTACCATTTAGATAGGATTTTGACTGAAAAGTAAATGATGGTTAATTAAAGGTAAAATGACAGGAGTCAACATTTGCTGCTATTTTGGGACAATTTCAGTTCAAAATGAACTTGGGTAAAGCATTGGCAATTAGGTCATGATTGTAACTACCAGAACTGAAATGTGTATTAAAGTATTTTGAAGGCATGGATAATGGAGATTTCCATTGTGTTGGGGATATAATTCTCTCCTTTCCTCCCCCTCTGTTGAGATCGAGTTAACATGGTGTTTGTAGTAACTTAGCATTTGTCACCGATAGTATTTCATTCTGACCCCAGAAGTAGGTACATGGGCTTCAGTTGCCTAGACCTGGGGATAAATGACTCATTTGGATGTATGGATATCAAAATATCATATTTTAAGGACCCAGAAGTGAGTGTGCTCATATAAAATGGGAGTTATCACAGACTGAGGCTTGGAAATCAAATCCTATTTTTCTTTTTACTAATCTCTTAGTTTGAGAGGATAACTAAAGCAAGTTTGTTATGGGATATCTCGTATATTTAGCTTTGTGCCTTACATTGTATTTCAGAACTGATATAAGATTTGCTTCTCACTTTCAAGGAGGGTAAAACCTAGTTGGAGAGACAAAGTGAAATTGTTTTTTCAAGTTATATGGGAAAATTGGAAAGCATTGAGGTCCATGTGAATTTGTTGTTGTTGTGTGCTTTGGGGGGCGGGGGGGGGCTTATAAATCTTTTCTGACAATGTGAGAGCTCTAGACTCTCTCAAAGTACATTGAACTTTGCACATGGTACATACATAGTCCCTGAGCCCATCTGTGCATGCCTGTGGTTAAGAGGCCCAATTTAAACTGTTCTCACAAAGGGTCCTGATTAAGAAAGAACACAGAGAAAGGAGAAGTCAGTGTGTGTTGGAGGAGTGAAATGTAGGACTTGAGCTGAAACTCCGCTATAATAGAATTTGAGTAAGCGGAGAATTGTGAGCAGTGTACTTCCAGCAGGGAGAAGCATAGTGTGTGCAGCAGTGATTGTACAGCTGCTTGATTAAAATAGAGGCTGTGTGCGTAGCAGCAAGAAAATCAAGCTTTCTAGGTGGCAGTGCGTCTAAATTATAGAGGGCCTTGGAAGCCAAGGAAAGGCATTTAGCTTGATGGGGTAGACACTAGGGAACCATTTTAGGTATTTACCAGGAGAATGATATAACAAAAGCAGAGACAGTAGTTTATAAAGACTGTTCTGTAGGATTCATTTGGAAGTGAGGAGACTGCATGTAGAGAGGCCAACTTTAAGGCTGTTATAGTAATTAAGGCATGAAGTAATGAGTGCCTGGACCAAGGGGGTAGCAGGAAAAGGAGGTGAGGTTTAATCTAACAGAATTTATGGGAAAACTTTGGACTCTAAATGTTAACGTCTATCTCGCCCACCTTTTATTTTAAACAAGGGAAAATGCAGATTTTTTTATTACCGGCATCGGTGTAGTATTTGAAACAATTTGGAATTTAAAAGGATTTCCTTAAATGTACTGTTGATGATTTTTAAATTAATTTAGTGTTTTCTTTTTAGGCATCTGATCATTTAAGTGACTTTGAAATTGCTGTTTTCCTTTAAAAAATTGTTCATGATTAAAATACAGAAAAGTACAGAGAATAATATAACAGGCCCACATGCACCCATTTCCCAGAATTAGTAAATACTGTTTTTTTTTCATATTTTCCTCATCTTCTTATTTAAAGAAATAAAATCTTACAGATACACTTGAGGTTTCCTTTGTACCCACTCCCCAGAGCTATTTTCCTCCCTGCCTCCTGAGATGTCACCACTCTCATTAATTTGCGGTATAGCCTTCCTGTTTATGTGTTCATACTTGACTAATACATATGCCGATATATATGTTCCTAAATAATTCATAGTTTAAAATGATAGTTTTATAGTGTATTTCCAATATTTCTATAACTTGTTTTTTTTTAAGTTATTTGTTTTTGAGGTCTATCTATGTACAGCAAATTCATGTATCTGTTCACTTACTTTAATTGTGAAAACAGTTTTGGAGAAAAATGTTCTAATTCATTGGTTAAAAAATTTTTTCCTTTGGCCATTAGGGGGTGCCAAGGCAGCATTAATTAGCTGCCTTGCTACATGATGGAGAGGCACAGAAGGCAGCCTATATTATGCACCTCGAATAGTACCTTCTTCCCTTGCTGCTTCTCCAAAATAAACTAAGCCATTTGGGTGGATAAGTGTGATCACAGCCTCCCCCCCCCCCC